GATAACCCCTTAGGGGGGGCGCCCGCATGCACGGAGGCGCATGAGGGTTTTGTGACCACGTGTTGCCCTGCATCCATAAACCCCAGAATTACTATAAATTTTTAGAAGAATATCAAAGCGTTTAATCTGCAAAAAACCAAAACCTCAAACAATGCCGTTTTTCCAATGATTTCCCGTGCTTCGCAGGGGCATGGTTGCTTACCCTGTTCTATCAGACTCGCTCGCATTTCGTCATTTTTCGTCCAGTAGTAGTGGGCATAATCTGCTGCTGATGCGGCCTTGCACTATGCCAAGGTTACGGCCCAAAAAGAAGCCCAAAGCCGGACGGTTCTTTAGCATGTTCGAACAAGGAAGGAAACGCTAGGGCATTTACATGCATACCATCTAATTTCTATTTATTTACATATGTCACATCAAAATTTTAGTTCTTTTACATTTATATAAGACAAATCTTTCATATCACATAAAAAAATACTACGACGTCAACTTTAAAAAAAATAAAATACATATTTTCATGCATAGATAAGGTTGTATATACGTAAAAATTAAAATTTAGGTGTTGATATGTAAATATATATGAATTGAGTGGTACATATGTAAATCTTTCATTAGTGATATATTTAGTGCATTTTTAATCAGTAAATGTTTTTTATTGATAGAACATAAATTAGTTAGAGAATAAATAAAAACAATCTAATGCAAATATAAATAAATAAAAACTGGCCATGTCTTATTTTGTAACGATAATTTGTAGAAAATGGCTAAAAATTAATTTAAAGCAATTTTTTTTCCCTTTCTCAACTATTTATTTTTAATTTCTTTTCACAATTTTCATGTCAACCTCGAATAACTACATTTATTTCGATGTGCCTTTCAATATCCTTTCAAGTCATTAAATAGCGACATTTCACATTCGGATCAATGGAATAGGATTCAATTATAAATATTAGGATAACACTTAAACACATAAATAATAGGGAAATAAAGAGAAGATATTTACATCTCACAAAATTCTTATTGTTGGATCACGATTGTCTTTTGGTAACACGTTTCGAGAGTTAGAGCCGAGTGAAAGAGCGAAAAGAATCGGGGGAGAGAGTTATCTTTATTCGTATTTTTATCTTCAATTTATAGGAGTGCAGTTTGTATAATTACAGGAAGGGGTGAACAGTTATGGAAACTGTTCTTAATATGATTGATGTTCTAATTAATTAAATGAAGGATAAATTTCACTCTTGCACGGTTAAAATTATGATGGTAGTCTCTTATATCTAATTTTGAAATGCAACGGAATTGTTTTTTTAAAGGCGAGTTTAAATTATGTGAGCTTATAATTATTTTATTTTCTTATAATTAAATATAATTAAGGAGAGAAGCCTTAAATGCACTGTCATTTTAATATTTAAAAAATAAATATAGAATTAGTGATTAAATTCGTCTTAAATAAATGATCCACGTCATTACAAACTACATGGTTCAGCTTACTTCCACCCGCTAGAAAGAAATAATATGATTTTTGCATATTGCATGGTAATATCAAAATCCCCACACAAACTTTAACAATAAACAAAAAGATATATATATATCTATATATATATATAAAATGGCCGGAGTCTATTATATCAACTCCTGCCATGCGCCTAAGAATTTGAGTACTTCACCCTACACTTAGGGGAAATCGAACCCCAGACTAAAGGAGACTTACAACTGACAAGCAGATGCTCGACCAACTGATCTGAGTACCTCGACACACACAAATATATAAATACAATATTTACTCATTTATATTAGCTTATATATATATATATATATCTTAAATTTTATTTTTTATATTTACACCTCTCAAATCTTTCATATCAAATAAATTTTTTTTATCATGGTAACTTTTAAAAAATAAAATATGTATTTCCATTCAAAGGTAAAAGTATGTTTCCATGTTAGATATGTAAATACTTGAGAATTAAGTATTATGTACGCAAATATTTCTAAAACTAATTAAGTGTCTTTAAAAACCTAAACTATTTTTAGCACATCATAATTATAGAAAACTATATATTGTTAACCTACGTTTATTTTTAAATATACGACGCCCCACGCCTAACATTTAATTGCGTGATGAGACAACCCAGGCGTAGATAAATTCCTTGCCTTTAAAAAAACTATCGACTTTCGCAAAATTTCATTCAAATTACCGATTTGACCCTGACATGAGGATATCTGGGTAGATTTCTAAATTTCCCTATTGTTTATGGTAGCTTGCCGTCTAAGTGACGTATGAGCAGAATAAATATTTCCTCGGAAGCAAACGGAGACATTTTGTGATGCCTCCCATACTAGATGATGGGAAGGACAAAATATTAGCATATGTTTATAGTAGCCATTTATTCCGAAGGAAGACATCTCTTGCTTATATTAATGATGTACTTCATGGCATCATTGTGTAGATTATATTAGTGTACCCTTTCAATAGAAGATAACATCTATGTCTCATAAACGTAGGCTTTTGAATAATATGATACTTATGTGACTCATAACATCCTCAATTTCTATCATCAACAATGCCTCTAACTTGAGTTTCTCGTAGCAATATCTAGTAATCTCTTGGAAGGACCGTCCTTCATAAGGTTTCAAAACCTCTTGATTTGCCATATATGTGCTATATTGTTGAATAATTAAATTTCCTAAAATGTACACAAAACAAATTATATTATAAAAATAAACATTGTTGTATCAAAATATAATAATAACAATTTTGGTAAAGATAAAAAAAGGGCCAGCTTTAAGCTACTCAACTTTTATTTCTTATTTAATAGTCAATTTAGACAATTTTTTTTAATTTATTGCTCTAATACAACTCCCATTTTTTTATGTTTTGAATTTCACATGCTTTCTATCTTTTATTGATATGAATTAAGCTGAAATTATTTAAGATATATTAAGACTTCTGAATCTTTAAGCAAATAATCAAGTTTTAGTATTATGCTATTTAATGAATTATACATATTTTATGATTATATCCTTAATTTAGATGAAGAATTTTATAATCCTACTAAAGGATAGCCTATGTCAAATAGCGGTTATCCAACGTAAGATTCTGAATGATAATTTCATATCACCATTTTATCACGGTAATTTGGTTTTACTTTGATTGCACCAAATGCAAGGTGTTTTAATGATTTGCATATTGTATAATTTATGGGACTTTTAGTTCAGACTTATTTCTAAATGCTACAAATTATACATTTACGACTTATGCATTTTGAAGGTAGGTTAATTAATAATATTACCATTTGCATTTTTATGAACCTTGCACTTTTGTTATCATTATTGTTAATTGTATCACATATGTTAATTTAACTAAAATATTTTATCATGATGAACCATTTAAACTATGTGGATTATCAAAAGATAATTGTACTATTTAAGTGATTTTGAATGTATAAATATTAAGAAAGAAATAGTAGGTGGCTATTTTTTGACGCATTGGAATGATGTGATTTATAATATTAGTTGACAAACTAAAGGCTGCCCTTATTATTTTAGCAACCTAATTTTTATTGTAAAAATTATTTACAAATTCAAAAATATTTGTTGTCATGATATCATTTTAATTCAAAAAAGCATATCTTACTTTCACAAATATATATTTTTTTAATTTTATTATTTATATTTTTTAGTGTCAAATATTTGACTTTATATTGTATTAAATATATACATTATTTTTGGAATCATTTGAGCAATGATGACATTTAAATCAATACTCAAATGAAATCTTGATTTCAATTTCCAATACATAATTTCAACTATTTATATTAAAATATGCAAACATGTTACATTATGAGCATAGGTTTTATTATAATTATTATGCCGTACATATGATTTGTGCTTCGATTATAAGATAACACACATGCATTTACCTCAAAGAAACTAGTTAACATACCTCTCATCATATTATATTTGCACATATTTTTCAATAAATTAAAGGATCATTATAGCTTAAAGTAGAATCTTACACTTGTCAACCACTATTTGACATAGACTATCTTTTAGTGGGATTATGAAATTCTTCATCAAAATTAAGGATATTACTTCTATTTTTTAAGCTAAAAGGCCAATAAATTTTAATGGTGACCTTTCAAAAATTTGTGGCTTTTTTAATTTAAGCCCAAAAAAATTAAACATGTTTTTCATGATTGTTTCTCAAAACATAAAAAAATTATATATATTCATGATTATTTTATTTTATTTTTTATTCATTTTTTTTCTAAATTGTTAAGGCTCAATATAAATTATAATATTAAATTTGACCATAAAAAAGATGACATTGGGTGACAATTGTAGATACTTTTATACTTTAAGTAGGTTGATGACACTTGAAGCTTCCATGCACGTAGCATAGTCAACATGCTATAGCTAAGTGCATAACCCATATAAGAGGTGCATAATGAAATTTAATAGGTGACTGCCTTAAAAATTTAATTATATTGTACTCTTTCCTTAAAAAATGTCTAGTCTTAAATAGTTTAACACTTAAACTCTTAAACATCCGAGAAAGAGTTACCTTTTATGATAGCCTCAATGTCAAATAGGGTCTTTTCATGCACTATCCTTCTACAATGTCCTTTCTTTCTAGATTTAATTTTTTTTTTCTCTTTAATTCATTAAATTAAAAATAAAGTATAATAGTCAACAATTGTTCTATTATATATTTAGGGGCATTCACTTAAATACCACACAATCATTATTTATTTATATATCTAACCCCTATACATTCCTATTTACTTGGACCTCACTCAAAATTTTAACATGGTTACTATATTTTTAAAAATGAAATATGTTAGACTTATATGACACCAATATATTATAAGTATAAACTATATCAAAATTGGGATATTAGACACATAAATACATTAAAAAAAGTTATGGCATGCATTTAACTTTGCCTACATATTTATTTACACACCCAAGAACACGACCATTATCAAACTAGCTAGCAATGACTTCTAACATCAAATGATTCTTCAGAGCCAGCTACACGAAACCCGCGGCCATAAATCTCTCATTTAATTCTCATTCAACATCTCATTAACTTCTCCAGTTCTCGGTAGGTCAAGCTTTTACCACTCCCTCCTCCACTCCTCCTTTCTCCACCTTCACCAAACAGAAACCAGAAAGAAGACATTTTGCTGAAAAGAGAGAGGGAAACAAACACTTAGAAGCAAAGTTGATGGAGATGGATGAAGATATCTGCTGCTTTCAGCCTTTATCGTCATCGAATATGCTACAATAAATAAGAGCTGGTTCGAAGTCCCTCAGTAAAGGCCAAAGCATGTCTCTTTCCTCCGCTTCATCTGAAGCTTCTCTTAAGAAAGCTCTCAGAAAGCGCTGAAACTCATGATATTGATGATGCCGCCCGCGAGGAAGACGAAGTTGAGAGACCTCTCTCTTCTTCTTCTTCTTCTCCTTCTTCTTCTCTTCTTGCTCGACAGAGGTGCAGCAAGCAAGAGGGTTTCTTCTTTAAGGCTTGCGAGAATACGGAGGCATTTGGATATGATAAACAAGCCTGCTCTGCGATCCATTCAAGTAAAAGACGATCAAAATCTCTCTTTTTTTTTTTCAATTTTTGCGGTGTTTTTTGTTTCTATCAGTTTGCGGAGATGAGAAATTTGTATGTGCAGAGCCCGGATGGAGATATTATCGATTGTGTTCGTAGCCACAAGCAGCTTGCGCTCGACCACCCTCTGCTCAAGGATCATATAATTCAGGTTAGAAGATATTGCTTATAAAAGAAGCATTTTTATGCATTTTTATACTCATTTTTGAGCATATTAATGCTGGTCCACATGATTTTATTTTACAAATTATGTGCATAATACGAAGTTTTGCTCGTCCATTTTGTTGTCTTTTTAATATGTAAAAACAGTGAATATTAGATGACGAGCTGACATTCACATTTTCTATTTTATATATTAATGAATTCCCTTAATAGTTTCTACTTGTGATTTAATATTTATTTATAATAATCATATTTTTTTATTTTGGTTTAGAGATTGCCATCAGAGAGACCTGCATTCTCCGGCGGGCGGGTGATGAGTAACTCAACAATAACAAAACAAGCATGGCAAAATTGGCACCATGTTGGGCACTGCCCCAAGGGCACAATACCGGTACGTCGGAGCTCCATCGACGACGTCCTCCGAGCCAAATCACTGTATCACTACGGCAAGAAGCGGCACCGTCGATGGCCAATGAACCCCGGCGGCCGATCGGCATATGCTCCGGATGTTGTTAGTGGCAATGGTCATGAGGTATGAAACACTGCTCATAGCAATAAAACAAAGTTAGGAAAGTGATGAGATTTTGCTTGGAATATGATTGCTGTCTGCTCTTTTAGAAAGCAGAGAGTAATAAAGATAGAGATGTGAGGGGAGTTGGGGATCTGCAAAGGCATTAAATTGATTTCTAGGGTTTTTATTGCATACTTTTTTTTCTTCTATTACAAGCAAAGTAGGCATGAAAGAGTAAGTGGTATTCATTGAATGAACTCAAAGGCATTGAATACTTGGTTGAGGTCATGCTGATAATGATTTTATTTTATTTTTCCTTAAAGTCATATATTTTTTTATGAAAAAATTAAGTTCTTTTGAATATATGTGATTTTACTTTTTAATAAAGTTATTTTTTTTAGCTTCATTTAAATTTTTTTTCCTTTATAAGACAACATCATTTATTATCTATGAGAAGGATTAAGAAGTTGTATTTAACTTAAGAAGAATCTTAATTAAACTTTTTTTTTCCATTATGAAGAAGCTTTTTAGATGAAATGTTTTAGCAAATTTAGCATTTTTCTTTGCGACTATAAGAAGTATTTCTATTAGTGTCGGTTACCCGGCCTGCTGGTTGACATCCACGGTAAAAGACTCTCAGGTCAGGGATTCGAATCTCCTCTCACATATTTGGCCTTATGGAGGTGGTACTTGAATTCTTAGCCACATTAAAAGTGGCATGAGAACAAATCTTGAGTAATTCAATCAAAATTAAGATAAATTTAGAGCATAGAAAAATGGGACAGTTATAAATGTGTTTTAAACAATATTTTCTTATGCAAATAAATAAAAAATACTTGATTTGTGGTTCAAGAGTTAAAATTTTACATCTTAACCGAAATGTAATGAAAACAATTCTAAACCAATTCTGTTCCAATATTATATTGCTGCAAGGAATTGAAACCATTTGAATCAAACTGTTTAATATATGTACATATTTAACATTTCATTGACATGGGAGCTAATTAATGCTCGTTTAGGGAAACGAGCTTTAGGTTAATGGAAACGCGAGGGATCCAATGCAATTTTGGTAGTTTGAGGAAGCCATTTCCCAGTAGTTTTCCCTTCATTATTTTCATTTAAGAAAAAAAAAGAAAAGAAAAATTTATCAAATTTCGTTATGGGCGCAGCATGCAATAGCGTACACGGGAACAGACCAAGAATTGTATGGAGCAAAGGCTACGATTAACGTATGGGAACCGTCCATTCAGGTTGGGAACGAGTTCAGCTTATCTCAGATTTGGGTCCTATCAGGCTCTTTTGACGGCTCTGATCTCAACAGCATTGAAGCCGGCTGGCAGGTACTTCCATCTCATTTGAATCATAAAACTGTTTATATATATCTGTAAAAATACTCATTATTCACGGACAACTAGTGTTAAGCTTGTTAAGTAGATTGTGTTGGGCTTGTTTGCTAGGTAAACAAGCCAAACACGAAAAAAATTTTAGGCTCGAATAATAAAGAAGCTGAAGATGAACAACTCTTTCTATGGTAATGTGGTTATAATCATAACATATTTATATTTATATCTAAATTCAAATCATAACATTTTCTATGGCAATGTAGTTAATTACAATTTTTTTTGCATAGATCTAGTCTAGTTCTATATTTATTTTTCTCAATTAATTTTAACGAACCAATTTTGAGTTGAACACAAACACAATGTTTACGAGCTAATTTCAAACACGAGCCTATTTCAAACTTGAGCTATTTCGAACGAGCCGAACACGAGCCAAACCTGAGCTCACTCAAGCTCCGCTCATTTACAACCTGACACACACGCGCGCACACACACACGCGCGCGCACTTTTTATTTAGATTTTTTCAAGACGAAGATTTAATTTTTTTAGAAATGATAAACTTTTTATGAAGCTGTATAACAAAATGAAATGTACTATTTATTATTATTTTTTTTTGAAAAAAAATGCCTTGTTTAATCTGGGCAATTGATAGATCGGTTTCAAATGCCTAAGATTGGTTTAAAGTCATTTACTTAAATATAAAAAAATAATAAGAATGCCCAAATTTGGATAAAAATTAAAATAATAGCAATACTTTGTCCATTTAAATAACTTGTTCATCAATTATTATATTATTTTTGAATTTTTTTTCATCTTTGATTTGATTAATCTAATTAAAACCAAGGGGGCATTTACATACATATTCAATCCTTCTAAATTCTTGAGTTGCACATTTGCATCAAGATCAATGCTCAATTGAATATAAATTTTATGATTGCAAAAGAGCCACCTCAAACGGATCACAATTTACATCATTATTAAAATATTCATTTTGATTCAAGCTAAACAATAATTCAATTTTCATATATTTTTTTATGAATCATCAATCTTATAAATACAAATCATATATATATATATATAGGAGTTTCAAATAAAAAAATAATTTTATTGTTGTGTAATTTTTAATGATTTGAGTAAAATTCATAGTCTTAATAATATAATATATCTATATATATTATTTAAGCATGTGCATATTCCTTAATGTGGGCCGACTACTAGGGTTGACATTTGGGCACATGCCACTAAAATGAAGAAAGGCCACTTATATTTTACACACACAAAAGGGCTCAAGGGAGGAGCACCTTTGTGCAATTTACATGGGCCCACCTTCCATTGAATGTCATGCCAAGTTTGTTGGTTAAATAAGTGGTGGGACCATAATTAGTGTTTGCAATAACTATTAATAATTTTTAACAGACAACAGTGGAGCCCTCCCTTTGCTTAACATTATGCTTATCTTATATTATAATGATTAAAAATATTTTTTAGTGAAAGATCTACATATACCACTAAATTCCTATGTATTTACATACCTAAACCCTACATTTTTTATTTTTTTTTATGTACACCACCTTATCTATCCATGAAAACTTTAATGTGATAAGAAAGATTTGGGTTGTGTTAATGTATAAGAGAAAATTTAGGTCACATAATACATAAATCCGAAAAAATTGGGTGATATGCATGTCAGTGCCACTTTGTTATTTTAATTCAAAGTTTCAGAGTAATAAAGATCGTCCAAATTCAAACTAAGGGTGTCTTTAGAACAGCTTGTGCTAATACAAATAAGCAGTTTATTCTGAAACCCAACCCGTGGGTGTTTAGCAGGGTTTGACCCGCGGCCTGCATTTAGTGTAAAATCCCAACCACATTTTTGGATAAGCTGCCGAAACTTGTTTTCCAAACGATGATGTGACGTTTTGAAAATAAGCTGTCCCAAAAATCATGTCACTCACTTAATGCTCCAATTCTCTGTTTCTGTAATTGGCGCACTATGTGATTCTTAAAGCCATAAATTATTGAAAACAATAAATTTAACTATGACGAAGGAATATTTAACCTAATAAATAACCAATATAATAATAATAATAATAATAATAAAAAGGGGCATTTCCATACATTACCACAAAATTCTTATGTTGTATTTACAAATATAACACCAACATTTTTATATTTATGTGCATTACGCTCAAATCTTTAGCGTTACATCAAAAATATCATGATTACTAAATTTTTAAAAGTAAAATACACATTTTCATGCACATCATTGACACCAAAGTATTATAAAGATAAAAATCAAAATTTCAATATTCTTAGATATGTAAATACAAAGAATTGTGTGGTATGTATGTAAACTTCTCAGCCCACTACCACTAGCACCTTTGGCTTTACATTGCAGTAAATAAATAAATAATAATAATAATAAACTTAATTTACAATATTTTAAAGCTATAATATAAAATAAAAACTTATTGATGTGATCAGAAAACTATAATAAATAAAGCTGAATATTTTTTTTATCTAATTATTTATAATTTTATATGCTGGCGCACAAAATAAGGCAATCAAGTTGGGGCCACTAAATTGAAGAGGAACCATCAGTGCAACAAAGAGAACAGCAAACATGAAAGTGGCCAGTGGACGGCCAGATCAGCCGCAATTAAGCGTGGATTAATTGCTTCTGTCCCCACAGCTTTCATAATAATTACACCACTATCTTTTTTCTGTGGCACTGGCAAACATAATTGTTATGTTGAATATTCTGAAGCCTTCCATTTTTTTCTAGTCAGGTCAGCCCTGAGCTTTATGGAGACAGCAGGCCCAGGCTCTTCACTTATTGGACGGTGAGGTCTCTTCCCTTCCCCTTGAGGAACAGATTACCGCATGAGCTTATTTTGCTGTCTCTTGAATCTTCTATACATATTATAATATCAAAAAAATGTCCAAATAGTCTATAAACTGTTAGTCTTTTAGTTTCAGATTCTGAAATAATCCCTCAATTAAAAGAGACCAGGGTTTGTTTTAGCAAAAAAGTAAAAGAGCCGGGATAAATTTGTCATTTTTATAGACTTTTAAGATTAAAATGATATCTTTAAAGAGTCTGTGAACAAATTTGATATTTTTTACTTATCATTTATACTTGCTAAATATAAAAACTTACATGAAAAGGCCGAACACTGAATATTTTCATGGCGTTTGCTGCTATAGAGCGATGCCTACCAAGTAACAGGATGCTACAACCTTCTCTGCTCTGGATTCATACAAACCAACAATAAGATAGCAATCGGCGCTTCCATATCTCCGATCTCATCGTTCGACGGCAACCAATTTGATATCAGCATCCTCATTTGGAAGGTAAACCTATAAAATATCAACATATAGTAACATTAATCCACAAAAAAAATATCAAATGTAGTGATAAAATTTAGGAAATTTGCATATATAGCACACAATTCATATGTATTTACATATCTAACACTCAAAGTTTGATATTTACACTCATAACACCTCGGTGTTATAAACTTATGTGTATTTCACGTTTAAAAGATAATGATGGTGATATTTTTTAATCTGAGATATTAAGGATTTGAGTGGTTTGTATGTAAATATGAATGTTTAGATGTTAGATACTCAAAAATATAACGATTGTAAGGTGAGTATGTAAATACCCAAATAATGTAAACTAAACCTATCCACACACAACATGAGCTCCAGGATCCAAAGCTGGGAGACTGGTGGATGAGCTTTGGTGATGATATGCTGGTTGGCTACTGGCCAGCAGAGCTCTTCACTCACCTCACAGATAGAGCAACCATGGTGGAGTGGGGAGGTGAGGTCGTTAATACTCGTTCCGACGGACGGCACACTTCGACTCAGATGGGTTCGGGTAGGTTTGCGGAAGAGGGTTTTGCCCGATCCAGCTACTTTCGAAACCTCGAAATTGTTGATGCAGATAACAGCCTAAGCCCGGTTCAGTCTATCACTACTCTTGCTGAAAACCCTAATTGCTATGACATTAAGAGCTCTGCCAATTCTGATTGGGGCACTTACTTCTACTATGGTGGACCTGGGAGCAATCCCAGGTGCTTGTAATTTGTCAAACACCTTGCATGCAGCTATTGTTTAGAATATCAAGTTCATTTTTCTCTCAGGCCTATATTTGATATCAATGTATTAAGGCGTTGGTATATGTTGTTTTGGTGCTGCATGTAGGGGATGCAAGTGCTTGTTTTGTTTCTATTTTTTATTTAGTTTAGCACTAGAGTTTCATGCTACACTTGTTATAGGAAAAAAAGTTTGTGTACTGATAGCACAAAATTTCAACAAGTGTAATAGCCATGAATATTATTTTGTTTATACAGATTCAAGCCTAGGGTGTAAACTTGTATTTAGTAGGATCTGATTGCTTATTCTTCTAAGTAAATTGGGTGAATTAAGCTAAAACATAGTCTTTGAGTGAATGTGAGGAACTTTCAGTTAGAGGAAATATGAATGAAAATAAGTAAATAAAACATGTCAGGAACTATTTAACTTGTAGTCTTTATTATTCAATGCACATGCTTATTTTGCAACTTTCATATCAACTATTTGTAATTGCCTATAATTTCTTTTCTTTTAAGCAATTAAGATTAAATTTTATAATAAATCAATTATACATGTCCATGTCGGCGCTTAAAAGGGGGAAAAGTTAATGTTTGGGGGTCGCCCGTAAGAAGCTGTCGGTCGCCATAATTGAAATCTCGTCGCACGCTTCGGAAGGACTTTTTAATTTACGTATATATATATAATTTTAGAAAAATATGAAATCAAACTGACCTCATATTTTTCACAGTTTAAATGAAAGATCACTCTACCTCAAATCATGTATCTATCCCGAGGAATAAACACAAGACTTGAGGATGAGGCTCGATCAAATAAACTAAGAAAGATATGACGTCCGTTTGGTCTGCGAAACCGTTTTATTTGCCGACAAGTTCCCCTATTTAATACAGAAGAATTAAATAGGGTTTATTTTAAGTTGGGTTCGGAAAAGCTCCCTATAAGGGCAAGCCCCTATAGTTAATTACATCTTAAATGACCGAAGTCACCTAAGAAAACTCTCGATAAAAATCAGGGAATAATGTCTTCAAAGAAGTCAAAAGGATAGGACTTT